TTTCCTTGCCTGTTACCTCTCACAGGCCAATCCCATAAACAGTATTGTAACTGGACTCCATATAACTTTAAAGAATCTGGGAGTCCCCGAATTAAAGGAGTTAGCTGTTCATGGGAGAGGGCTGCTGGGGGACCAGTGTTCTATCATGCAACAGTTGGAGACAAGCTGCCTTCTGCAAGTTTTCAGTCAAATTATTTACAGACTGGGTATAAATAGTATGAGGTTCCCCACACTCTAGGGGATCCATGCCCTTTTATCCACCCCAAGAGGTCTGCCTTTTGGGATGCATATGAGACTTTGTTCGAGGGGCTACAATGGGGTTTGGACACCATTTCCCAAAATAGGTCCTGAGGGCTGATCCCTCACACCTTCATTGCAGGTAAAGCCTTTTCTCATGAGGTACAGTTCCTATAGAGAGAAAGGTTGGACAAGATCATCATTATCATTTGCTTGAGAAGGGCCTGCTCTTCCATCTGCTTGAGAAGAATCTTCTCCATCACTCTCTTCCTGGTCTTGTGGAAACAGTGGAGATTTTGAAGGAGAGCAAGGTCTGGGACCTTTCATCTTTGCTTTGCTCTTGGTTACAGGATTAACTAACTCGTTTGGATCGAATGGGAGTGGCCTTAGTCTTAGCAGCAGTGGTAGTAGTAACCTTGCCTGTGTGGAAGCAGATTGTGATCACTCTATGCATCCACAGTACAATATACACATGCAGAAGCATCCATAGTGAAACAATGCTATTTAGATCAAGAGCTGGGACATTCAGCCCGAGAGAAAATGGAGAAATAAAACTGACCCTGCCATTACCAACATAGACCTTTCTGTTCATATGAAGATTTGTACTGTACACATACTGTGCCACCATACAGATCAGTGTCAAAACCCCTGTGATCACTAGATAGGTTATTATATATTTGATTATTGCTATAGTCCTGTTAATAAACTATAAAACAATAACAAGAGCAGCTACACAGAGCAGTATTATCCCGGGTGCATACCACTTAGACGACTGCATGTTGGGAAAAAGGTCCAGCAGAAACATTGCAGAAAGTCTTTTCAGTTTTCAACCTGTCAAAATATTCAGCAGAAGCCTTGCCCATAGCTATCTGAGTGGTTCCTCCCATCAGAGATGGAATTTTAAACTCACCAATTAGTGAGAATTTATAGCCTGGACTTAAGATTGAGCCTTGCATTGGGCACCAACTCATTATTGTCACAATTTGACTTAAGATCAGCAATTGAACCAGCAAGAATAACGCTTCTCCATCCCCTCCCCCTCCCACCCAGGTAAAGAAGGAGAGAGAGAATGAAGGAGAGAGACTTTCTGGATTGAAAACTAAACTAGATAGCTTTAATTAAATACTAGTAATAAAAGAAAATATGTACAGTTATATACAAATGTGTTCAGGAATGTGCAAAACCTTATCACTTCCCCCACCCCCAGAAACTCCCACAGCACTCTCCTTAGCTGTGAGCAGTTCTGAAATGTCCCAGCCCGCTGCTGGAGATAGCGGCAGATGAGATAGGAGCTGAGGGTACAGTTACGAGGGTCAGGAATGCACAAGCCTAGGGATCAAAGGTGATGGATAGATGGCGTCCTACCTGGACGCTGGCCATGAGTGGAAGAGAAGGAAAGAAGGAACAGGAAGGAAGTTTACATCTGTGATCTCTGACCTTACACTGAGCTTATGTAGATATATGGAATGGAATACTTTGGTCAATTTTGCTGTCTGTCTAGTCCACTCCTCCCTACCGGAGGGCTGCAGGTATGACTCTTCTGGTGACCTTGCAGTCTTGGCAGTAACATTCCAGTGTTATCAGTGCAGTAGCTGTAAAATTTGCTGCTATTTAAAAGAGACCTTACTAAAGGAAAAAAAGATGAGTAAAAGAAAAAATTGCTTTATCCTGGCTCAAGCTAGGGCAGTCGCCCATATAAAATTTCAAAAGGACTCACCTTCTTCCTGGTCCGAGGCTTCACCCTTCCCAAGGGTAAAGCCTGAGGCCATGGCAGATCTGCTTCTTGCCCTAATTTTGTCAGTTGTTTGATTAAATGGTCCATCTTTTCTACCTGTCCACTGGCTTGTGGCCTATAAGGTGTATGTAACTGCCAATCATTTTTCAAAAATTCTGTACTAATTTTCTGGATTACTTTTGCACAAAAATGAGATCCTCTGTCTGAGGGAATGACCCCAAATCTTGGTATGATCTCATTTAGCAATACCTTTGAAACTTCCAACGCCTTGTTTGTTCTGCAAGGGAAAGCCTCAGGCCATCCCGAAAATGTATCTGTCATTTCTAGTAGGTACCTGAACCCCCTTTTCTTGGGAGTTCAGTGGAGTCAAATTGCCAATGTTGTCCTGGACTATTCCCTTTACCAATTACTCCAGTTTGGACTTTATTTGTGGTATCTGGGTTGTTTTTGAGGCAAACCACACATCTTTGAGTTATCTGTTTATAGATTTGAGTTATCTGTGTATAGATTACAGCCCACTACCTTTTGACTAAGAGTCCTATACAAAGGATCAGTTCCCCAGTGGGTTTTATCATGTTCATCCTTCACAAGTCTCCAAACAAGTCCTGAGGGAACAATTACTTTCCCATCAGGAGTATGGGCTCATCCCTCAGGTTGCATCTTACCATTCAAATCCTTTATCAGTTTCTGATCTTCTTTATTATAATAAGGTTTTTTGTTAAGAATTTCTAGTTCACCATCTGGAATAAAAATGAATGCCTCTACATCTGCAGTTTTTCTTGCCTCGTAGTCTGCAAGCCAATTTCCTTGTTCTAGGTCAGTTGTCCCCTTTTGATGTCCTCTGCGGTGAATGATTGCTACTTGATTGGGTAGCTTTATGGCATCTAATAGTTTTAAGATTTCTTCAGCATGTTTAATTTGTTTACCTTGTGAAGTTAGAAGGCCTCTTTTTTTCCAAATTGTCCTGTGGGTATGTACTACATCAAATGCATACCTGGAATCAGTCCAAATACATATTTTCTTTCCTTCAGCCAGTTCAAGAGCTATGATTTCTGCCTTCCGGGCTGAAGTTCCTGCAGGCAGGGGTTTCACCTCAACAACCCCTGAAGAGTCATGACTGCATACCATTAACATTTACCATTTTTGATGAAGCTGCTCCTGTCTGTGAACCAGGAGTCTTCCACATCTGGTAAGGGAGTCTCTTTGAGATCTGGTCTGCTGGAATAGACCATTTCAATCATCTGTAGACAGTCTCCTAGGTTCTTCAAGTTTTTCTCCACTGAGGAAAGAAGCTGGATTGATAACATTAGTTACTTCAATTGTTACATCATCCTCTTCTACTAGGATAGCTTGCTATTTTAAAAACCTGGATGGGGACAGACAGTGCGCTGCTTTCTGCTCCAGTACTGCAGACACCATGTGGGACACTTGGACTATGATCTTCTGGCCTAAGGTGAACTTCCAAGCTTCTTGGATGTTCAATACAACATTGAGCCACTGCTCTCAGGCAAGGTGACCAGCCCTTACTGACTTCATCTAGTTGTTTTGAGAAGCATGCTACTGCTCTCTTATATGACCCTAGTCTCTGGGCCAATATTCCAAGAGCAATGCTCTGCTTCTCATATGAGAACAGCCAGAAAGGTTTTGTAGGATCTGGCAATCCAAGGGCTGGTGCTTTCATCAGCTCTTGCTTGAGGGCCTTAACAGCTTTTCTCGACTCTTTAGTCCATTGTAGGGTCACCTGGCTACATTTTATCACTTCATATAATGGTTTCACTAAGAGTCCATAATTTTAAATTCAAAGACGACACCAACCTGTCATTCCCAGAAATGCACAGAGTTCTTTTACCATCTGAGGCTCCAGAGTTTGACAGATAGCTTCTTTCCTTTTGTCACAGTTTGATTCAGGATTGACAACAATGCTCTCGATTCCCTCCCACCCAGGTAGGGAAAAAGAGAGAGAATGAGGAGATAGATGCTCTGGATTGAAAACTGAACTACACAGCTTTAATTAAACACTAATGATAAAAAAAATATATATACAATTATATACAAACATGTTCAGGAATGTGAAAACCCCTATCACCTCCCCCACCTCCAGTAACTCCCACAGCACTCTCCTTAGCTGCGAACAGTCCTGAAAAGACTCAAACTGCTGCCAGAGAGAGTGCAGACTTACGAGGGTCAGGAGAGCTTGAGCCCAGGGGTTGATGGTGATGGATGGACAGAGTCCTTCCTGGACACTGGCCATGGGTGGAAGAGAAGGGAAGAAGAAGCAGGAAGGAAGTTTTCTTCTGTGATCTCTGACCTTCCTCAGAGCTTACGTAGATATATGGAATGGAATATCTCTGGCCAATTTTGCTGTCTGTCTAATTCAGCCTCCTACGGGGGGGGGGGTCATAGATCTCCCTGTAGTGTCTGAGTCGTCAGAGCAAAGACATGACCTTGGAGTCCCAGCAATAACAAAAACAATCCAGCATTTGTTATCGGTCCTAGCTGGAACACTTTGCTAGTTAAAAGAAAGCTTACTGAAGGAATAAAAATCAGTAAAAGGAAAAGTGGCTTCATCCTGGTTCAAAGCAGGACACCTTTCTTGTACCAATTCTCGTTTTCCTTGAGATACTTCACAGTCAAGGTACTGAACATGCTCTTGTACGATCTGTGCTTTCTGTGGAGATACTCGATACCCACTTAAGCTCAGAAAATTAAGGAGAGTTACAATCCATTGTTCACATTCTTCTCTAGTTTGGGTTGCTGTCAAAAGATCATCTATGTACCTGAGCACTGTCCCTTCTCCCGGAGAAATTGCCCATTCCTCCAGATCTTTGGCCAACTGGTTTCCAAACAAAGTGGAATCAAATCACTCAAAATCAAATTACAATCAAAAAATCGTTTACCATCTTGGATTTAAAAGATGCTTTTTTCTGCCTCCCTTTGGAAAAAGAAAGCAAAAAATTATTTGCCTTTGAATGGGAAAATCCTGATTCAGGGAGAAAAACCCAACTCACTTGGACTGTGTTGCCCCAAGGATTCAAGCCCCACCAGCACCACCAGGACCTGCAGCTCCAGAACTGGCAAGGCTTGGCATGTCTGCACATCAGCACCTTGAAGGGGAACATCCCAATGATGTCTCTGCTGCTGCAGAGGGGTGCTAACATCGATGTTCGGGAGGGCACAAGCGGGAAGACCCCACTGCACCTGGCTGTGGAGTGCCACAACCGCAGGGCTGTTCAGTTTCTGCTGTGCCACGGGGCCTACGTGGATGCCCAGATCTACAACGGGTGCACCCCGCTCCACCTGGCCGTGGGCCGCAGGGACGCTGCCATCGCTGCCATCCTCTCGCACTCCGGGGCTGACACCCTGCTGAGGAACATGGAGAATGAGACAGCCCAGGACCTGGCTGATGGCAACGATGATCTCCTCGCCTTGCTGCCCTTTGATGACCTGAAGATCTCAGGGAAGCCTGTTGTGTGCTCTGAATGAGCCTCTGGACTCCTTTGGCCCCTTGGGCTGCCTCCTCGCTCCATGCTGCTGCCCTGCTGCCCCCTGAGACCTTGTCTGCCTGCAGTTCCATGGGAGCAGAGCCACTTTAGGAGACTTATCCCCCCCTGCCTCCTCTTTGGAAGAGTTTTGTTGCCCTCAGGCTGCCTTTGCAGAGGGAAGAAGGTGGCACTATGAGCACTACACAGGGGAGGCTTTTCTTGTAGTATTTTTGAGTGGAATTTGATTTTGTCAACAATGTGTAAGGATTTGCAACCACCGGGTGGATTCTTCGGTAATCTTATTGATTGCCCTTAAATCTTGCACTAATAATTCTTTCCATCTGCTTTTCTCACCTGGAGAATTGGTGTGTTATATTCTGATTTACATTCCACCAAAAGACCGTGGCTTAAAAACTTATCAATTATGTTTTTAACACCTTTTCTATCTTCCAATTTCAAAGGATTTTGCTGAACTTTCACTGGATTCATATTTGGTTTCAGTTCTACTACTATTGTGAAGGCATTCTTTGCCCTTCCAGGTATTTCTGTTGCCCAAACCCCTAGATAAAGCTGATCCATTATTTCCTGAGGGATTTCGGGGCTTACTTCAGTTTGGATCAATGCTAGACTCAAAATATTGTTTTGTTCGTCCACTTCTAAGGTAATTTTTCCTTTTTCAAAATAAATCTTTGCTTCCATTTGTTCAAGCAAGTCTCTTCCTAATAATGATTTTGCAGATCCTAGTATGTACAAAATCGGTGGATTCCAATTTGCTTACTCAATTTATATTTCATTGGTTGTGTAAAGAATGCCTTTTCTTGTTGTGCAGCTGACCAATTACTGTTACAAAATCATTATCAATAGGAATTAAATCTTGGTTTATTACTGAAAATGCACCGATATCTACCATAAATTTGGTTTCCCTCTTGTTTTTCCCTAGCTTTACCAGAACCAGTGGATCCACTAGGGTATATTCTCCAGGTCCCCGTCTTTGTTCTGCTCCTTCAGCAACCGCTATTATCTTTTGCTGATTTAGGTGGGGGCAATCATTTTTCCAGTGACCTGTTTCTTTACAGTATTCACACTGATCTGCCCTTGGGGGGAATCGTGGTACTGCATTTCCACCTCGTCTTGCAGCTCTCCTGCCCACTCACCTGTGGCCACAGGGGCAGGGGTTATCCTCAACTCCCAATGCAGCTACAGTAGCTGTAGCAATTGCCTTCCCCAGCTGGTGTCTCTCATTCACTTCTCTATTTTGGTAAGCTCTCCATGCTTCTTCAATCAACTTTTCTAAATTCCTATTGTCTGGCTATTTTACTTTTTGCAGCTTCTTTCTTATGTCCCCAGTAGTTTGTCCCAAGAATAAGGACACTAACTGTTGTTGTCCCACTTCTGAAGCAGGATCTAAAGCAATGAATTTGCACATTGCTGCTCTCAACTGATCTAAAAACCCGGTTGGAGTCTCAGACTGTCCTTGTTTTACTGCATAAAGCGCTAAACAATTTATAGCCTTAGGGATTGCATTTTCTAATCCAAATTTTATCCATTCTTGATATCGTTTTAATATTTGATACTCTATAACATCATTCAGATCCCAATTAGGATCTGTCAGGGGTATACGTTCATCTACCCCTGCAGTGAGCGTTCCTGCTGTTTATTAGCCTGGACTTGCGTATGAGCAGTTTTTATGACCAACTGCTTTTCTGTTTCAGTTAAAGCCTGCAGCATTAAATCTATGTCATTCAGGGTTCTGATTTTTAAAAATTAATTAAAACTGCTTTGATACCTCCTGTCCTGGTTTGAGCCAGGATGAAGCAAATTTTCCTTTTACTGATTTTTTTTTTTCCTTCAGTAAGCTTTCTTTTAACTAGCAACAGCGTGTTCTGCTAGGCTGATAAGACAGTGGAATGTTTTTCTAACTACTGAGGCTTTAAGGTCACACCTTCACTCTGCTGGCTCAGACACTATGGGGAGATCTGTGACCCCCCGCAGGAGGCTGAGTTAGACAGACAGCAAAACTGGCCAGAGATATTCCATTCCATATATCTACGTAAGCTCAGAGGAAGGTCAGAGGTCACAGGAGACAACTTCCTTCCTTCTTCTTCCCTTCTCTTCCGTCCATGGCCGGTGTCCAGGGAGGACTCTGTCCATCCATCACCGTCGACCCTTAGGCTCGAGCTCTCCTGACACTCTCCGCTTTCTCCAGCATCAGTCTGGAATTCTTTGGGACTGTTCCCAGCTAAGGAGAGTGCTGTGGGAGTTGCTGGGGGTGGGGGGAGGCGAGAGGATTTTGCTCATACGTGAACATATTTGTATATAATTGTATATATATTTTCTTATATCATTAGTGTTTAATTAAAGCTGTGTAGTTTAGTTTTCAATCCAGCCAAGTCTCTCTCTTTTTCTCTCTCTCCTTTCCTACCTGGGTGGGAGGGGGAGGGGATCGAGAGCATTGTTGCCGGACCCGAGTCAAACAGTGACACCTCCACAGGATCATCTCAATAATTTTTGGCAACTTCTTTCCAGGTATCAAGATCGCTCATGCTAAAAGGGACCTTTAAACTTCCCAGCCCCCTCGGCTGTCATCGCCTGTTGGAGTGGTGATAAAGTTTCTGGACCTGCTGGTTGTTTGCTCTGAGTTCTGGCAGTGATAGGAAAAAATTTCTCCATTGAAGAGGAATCATAATTCTCCTTTTGTTTTCTAGGACTATAATTTCCCGTAGGGGGTTTGTTAAATAATTCTGTCAGTGGCGGGGGTAACGGCAGTGGGGGTACGAAATCTCCCAACGTTTCATCCGATTCCTCTCTCAACTTAGTACACCTCTGACCTACACTACATGCCAAACAACAACTTTTCAACTTGCCTCCTCCTTTCAATTGATCCTTTTCTAATGCCAACACCAGAGGGCCCTGTGGTGCCAAATTGATACCACAGCCCCTTTGCCATTCCGGATGGTTCCCCAGAGTGAAAAACATATCAGCATATCCGACCTCATCCCACTTTCCTTCCTGTCTTAAAAACAACATTAACTGCAGCAATGTATTATATTCCAACGTTCCATTCTTAGGCCACTTAGCATCATCCTCCAACAAAGGCCACCATTTATTACAATACTTTATCAAGTCCCTTTTACTAACATTGTCTTCTGGAACACCACCCAGGTCTTTCCAACGAGACAAAATACATCCCAGAGGACTTTTCTTTAAAATTCCCCCACTCTGTTGGCCACACATTATATGACACAAAATCCTACAGGTAACTTTTAAAGCAAGACAAAGAAAGTATCAGACAACAAGACAAGACAATATCAGACAAACAGCAGCTGCGATTAAACCAAAATATATCTGGCGCTTCATCCTTCTCTGGCCACTCCCCTTGTGGTTAGACAGAACTGCGGTTTGGGACTCCACACTTGCTTCGGGACTTAGTCCCATCTCACTCGATTCTCACTCACACACCAAAACCAAGTTCCGAGGGGGTCTTAACTTAAACAGTTAAGCCAAGCAAGTTGGAATACAGAGACCATGTGAAGTCTCCAACCTGTCTCAGGTCAGAGATAAACAAATCAGGTGTTATACAAAACAAAGGACTAGTCGCCAAGTATGCCATCTGGTGTGAGCTTTCCTTTGGTTCGCGTCTTCAGGGTAGACCCAAACAAAATTATCAAAAGAATACCTTTACAAAATGCCAGTGATCCTTGTCTACCCCTGTGGTGAACCAAGTGAGCAGGTGTTCTGGTTTGAGCCAGAATGAAGCCAATGTTCCTTTTACTGATTTTTTTTCCTTCAGTAAGCTTCCTTTTAACTAGTAGAAGAGTGTTCCAACTAAGACTGATAACAAATGGTGGAATGTTTTTCTAACTGCTGGGTCTTCAAGGTCACACCTTCACTCTGCTGGCTCAGACACTATGGGGAGATCTATGACCCCACCATAGGAGGTTGAGTTAGACAGACAGCAAAATTGGCCAGAGATATTCCATTCCATATATCTACGTAAGCTCAAAGGAATGTCAGAGATCACAGAAGACAGCTTCCTGCTTCTTCTTCCCTTCTCTTCCGTCCATGGCCAGCGTCCGGGGAGGACTATGTCCATCCATCACCGTCGACCCTTAGGCTCGAGCTCTCCTGACCTTCATCACTCTCCGCTTTCTCCAGCATCAGTCTGGAATTCTTTGGGACTGTTCCCAGCTAAGGAGAGTGCTGTGGGAGTTGCTGGGGGTGAGGGGAGGCGAGAGGCTTTTGCCCATATCTGAACATATTTGTATATAATTTTATATATATTTTCTTTTATCATTGGTGTTTAATTAAAGCTGTGTAGTTTAGTTTTCAATCCAGCCAAGTCTCTCTCTTTTTCTCTCTCTCCTTCCCTACGTGGGTGGAGGGGGGGGAGGGGATTGAGAGCATTGTTGTCGGACCTGAGTCAAATGGTGACAGCTCAGAACCTCCCTAGAGAGACTTGGTCAATATTGCAGCCATTAAGAGGAGATGTCCTGCTACGAGACAGCAGCGAGAGAGACAGGACCTGCTTCGATGCCACCTATGGTCTCTCTTGCGTGATTATTAAAAAAAGACACGAGAATCTGGAACAACAAGCCCACTGCTATTCTCCAGGTATGCACAGAAGAGCTGCTAAATAGAACAAATGCAGGAGACAGTCCTTCAAGGAAGAAGGCTACTCCAGTCTCCAGGGACAGAACCCATCACTATTTATGGAGTGATAGGAGGTTCTCAAGAACTGACTGTCGTGGAGACCAAATTGGAGCATAGGAAGTTCAAGGTGAA